ATTTCAAGTCTACTTTATTAACTTTATGTGATTAAGCAATAAGTGGTATCTTCAAGAGCTCTCAAGAGTGGATCTATCTCCCTGCCCTTCCTGGTACAGAATTCCTGTTTCAATCCATCATCCAAGAAGAAACAGCAGCAGGGAACTCAAGAGTCTTCTTTGATAATATCTAGGTGAGTTGCATCTTCACTCTTCCTGAGGAAAATTGTATAGTGCATGGAACTTGTTGTATTATTAATAAATTCAAGGACATTAACAACGTTTGAAAAGCTCCAGGAAGTCTAAGTCAAAGCCCTTTATTCTGGAGAGTGATTTGGATACACTAAATATCTTGTTTCTCCGATCTCATGCCATCTCTGTCTCTGTAGTACTTTTCTTTGTTTCACTACTTCTCTTTTTTCTTCCGTTGTTGCAAATACCCGTTTAACCTAGATTAGATATTTGTTCTTTTAGTCATTCAATAAATATGTATTCAACAAATTCTGAGTGGAGGCACTAAGTTATCTTCTGAGGATAAGGATATGAATGAGATATCTTTCCTTCTCTCGATGAGTGCACAGTCTATACAGGGAATGAAACATGGAAATAATTAAACGCAATACCCTGATGTGACACGGCAATCCTGGCAAATTGGGCTTAAAAGTAGTCACTTCTTCCTTTAGAGGTTAGCGAAGGTTTCACAGAGAAGGTTAGAGCAATACTGAGTCAGAGTTCTTCAAGGTGAAGAAGGACTCCAGAAAGAGAGAGTGAGTGTAGGGGTAAATAAAACTGGAATTGTGCTTTAGGGGGCCTGGGGGCGCAGTGCTTAAGCACTTGCTTGCTAACTAAAAAGTTGGTAGTTTGAACCCACCAAGTGCTCCATGGGGCAGTCGACATCCATAAAGACTACTCAATAGCAAGAGGTTTTAAGGCACGTTTAGGAATATATTGTGGCTATAGGGTTGCTACTTAATTCTGAAATTAACAGAGTCAAGCAGGGTTGGTAGCTGGAGAAAAATTCTGCAGATCAACATAAAGAACATATTGTTCATCCTGTTAAAGCCATAAAGAGCTGTCTAGGAGTGAAAGAGCATGGTGGAGGTGGAGGTTTAGAGGTGGGAAATGAACCTGTGAGACATTAAAACACCATGCATTTAAAAATTCACTGACTAATAATATGTACAAACCTATTAGTAAGAGTGATGGGATACGACCACTTTTACTTCTGCAGATCTTAGGAGAAAGTATCTAGTTTTAGAAAATCGGGATGTTAGTTGTTCTTTTGAAATATTTTTTTTATTTTTTAATGATGTTGAGATATTTCCTTTCTATTTTTATTTGCTTACAAGATTTTTCATGAGTGGATGCTGAATTGTGTTAATTTTTTTTTCTACATCAATTGATATCATCATTTGATTTTTCTTTGTTAGCCTGTTAAGATCATTGATTATATTGATTGATTTGTGAATATTGAACACTCTTGAACTTCTGAAATGCATCCAACATGGTCATAGTATATAACTTTTATACCTTGTTGGATTCTATTTTCTAATATTTTGTTGAAGATATTTGCATCTATGCTCAGAGATATTAATCTCTATTTGCATCCATTTGAGGTGGGAGTATTGTGTAGAACTGGTATCAGTTCTTCCTTACATATTTTGTAGAATCCAATAGTATTTAAATAACACCTCTAAAATGATTCTTTAACATAATAAAAAACTTCTGAAATTTATTATATTTTTTAAGATTATTGTAAAATTTCGAATCCATCCATTTTTCTATGTTTTATTGACATATAAATAAGTTATCTTGGCAGTGTGGTAATATGAATACTAGTACTTTACAGTTATAAAGCTTGGAAATATATATCTAGGTGAGTATTTAATTTTTTTTCACCATAATGTCCAAAACCTACAATCTGAAATTATCATAACATCCATTCTCAGGGTTTAGTCTCCCTCACTCATTCCCACAATCCTGTTCAATCTCTTCCTCCTCAGCCCTTTGCCCTTTTCGCTCTTTCTGTAGATTAGCTTTCACTTTTGCTCCACACATTACTGCCCACGGTCTGCCTGGTCCTTGAGAGCCCCCAGCCATGACGACCTCATTGGATTTTCTGAATTATAAAATTCAATTCTCAGAAGAGAGGAAAGTTGAATGACTCAACATTTTAGAACATTCTTTGCTGACTCCAACAGCTCTGCCTCAAGTTCATGAATACACAGGGCCATCATCAAGGCTCTAGTGGTGAAGGTTGTGGTAGTGATGTGTATGTAGGGAAATTATCAGTGAAAAGAACATTAGCTACATAGCCCATCTTTATAATGTATGTATAATATATGTATTGTTATATTATTCGTTATAGTATATGTTGTGTGCCCTCATTAATATATATAATATATAGGCTATACATATAAAACACAGTAGTTGCACTGTGGACCCCATGTGTTAGGAGACCTGACCTCCCACTGTCTACATTCTCTAGTCTGATTGTTTAGTCCGAGTCAGTCATATTGTTTCCATTATTGTTCCCTGGTGTTTTGAGAAATGTTCCTCTCTCCGGAACTTAGAATTGATTATTTCACAAATGCTTTTCTCACAGATAGCTTCTTGTATACCATTCTCATTGCTTTCTGTCCAAAGGCCTCTTAATCAAATGAGGCTGCATAAAGAAGGGTTTCTTCTCTCCTCTATAAGTTACTGATTCTACATGGTTTTACTTTTCTAATAATTTCCCCATGAAATATTATTTGCTAATTTACTGACAGTCTATCATCTTCTAATCACACAAATATCCTGGAATAAATTTAAGGGCAATGATTTTAAAAATTAATTTCACTGCTATTTTTCAGGGCCTTTAAGAATGGCTGGCACACAATAATTGGTCAAAAATATCTGCTGAATGAACATCTCAGGGACTTTGGAATAAATAATATTGCCTCGGAAAAATGCTTGGAACTAGGGGCAAAGATGGCTAGTCAGTTTAAACATCAAGCAGAAGATGCACCCTTTGGGATTCCATGAAATTTCCATGAAATTTTCAGCAAAAGGATACTAAATCTATAGATAATACAAGGGTAAGTAAAAGTATATTGCTCCCACAGTTCCGGTTCCTGCCTGCATGCATGTGCTTATTCCAAACAAAACATATTTCTGTGACTCTGAGATCGTGGGTGGCTGCAGACAAGTTCTCAGAGTAACATCCTTGTCTTAGTCTTATTGGAGAATCTTTTAAAAATGGGTTACACTCCCTGCGTGGGCAGTACCAACCATCTCATTGAGGAGCTTCCTCATTTTCACTGCCCCTCTCCTTCACCAAGCATAATGTCCTGGTCTGGCGACTGAGCTCTCCTGCTAACTGTCTAAAGTAGGTGAGATGAAGTCGCATAATTCTCTATTCTAAGAAGCATTCTGGTTGCATTTCTTCCACGACAGATTTGTTTGGTCTCGTGGACATCCACAGTGCTTTCAATATTCTTCACTAACACCAGTCTTTTCTGGTATTTCTTAGTCATTGTCTAGTTTCCAGGTGCTTAGAAGGTGATTGAAAACAGCATGGTCCGTCACACCTCTGCTCTCAGAGTGCTGGCTTTGCTTCTTGGCATTTTAAAGAGGTCTTTTGCAGTATATGTTTCCAAGGCAATGCATCGTTTGATTTCTTGACTGATGCTTCCGTGGGCCTGAACTCTCTATCTAAGGCAAATGAAATCCTTGGCAACTTTAATCTTTTCTCCATTTATCAGGATATTCTCTATTGGTCCAGTTCCGAGGATTTTAGTTTTCTTTATATTGAGTTGCAATACACACTGCGGGATGTAGTCTTTGATCCTCATCAGCAACTGCTTCAAGTCTTCTTTACTTTCAGCCAACAAGGTCGTGTCATCTACAGATCAAAGCTTGCTAATAAGCTTTCCTGATGCTGTGAAAGTATCTTTTTAAAGCCCAGTGCTCCTCGGATTATTTCTTCAGCATGTGGATTGAATATATCTGATGAAATGATACAACCATGTCACACACCTTTCCTGCTGTTAAATCCTACAGTCTCCCTTTGTTGTGTTCAAATGACTGCCTCTTAGGTCATGTACAGGTTCAGAAATTCCCATTCTTCACAATGTTATCAATAGCTTGTTATGATTCACACGGTCAAAAGCCTTTGCATAGTCAATAAAACACAAATAAATATATTCCCGCTATTCTCTGCCTTCAGCTGAAATTCAGCTGACATCAGAAATACCATCCCTCTTTCCTCACCCTCTTGAGAAAAGCTTGATGAAATATCTAGCTTGAATTTCTGGCAGCTTCCTGTTGATGTACTGCTGCAGCCATTTTTAAATGATCTTCAACAAAAATGTACTTATGTGTGTTATTAATGATATTGTTTAATAATTTCCACGTTCTGTTGGGTCATCTTTCTTTGGAAGTAGCCATTTTCCAAATTTCTAGCTGTCTTCAAATTCCTAGAATTTTTTGCATTGAATAGTGAGTACTTCCATGGATGCATTAGTTTGTTGATATATTTCATTTGGTATTCTGTCAATTCTTGGAGCCTTGTTTTGTTGCTAATGCCTTAAGTGTAACTTGGATTTCTTCCTTCAAATCATCTGTTCTTGTTTATATTCTACCTCTGGAACTGGTTGAATGTTGGGCAATTCTTTTGGGTGCAATGACTGTGTATTCCTTGTTTTGATGTTTATTGCATAGTTCGGCATTTATTCCGTAGAAACCCTGTGTTACAACTCTAGGCTTGAATGGTTTTCTGCAGTTCTTTCAGCTTCAGATATGCCGAGCATAGTCTTCCTTTTGCGATTTCTAACTGCGAGTCTTTTCACGTGTGTCTTTATAATGCTTTAATTTGTCTTCCCAAGTTGTCCTCCAAAATTTTCTGATCAGCTCTTTCCTTCATGTACAGCCTCATGTGTAGAAATTAAGTAATTAATGATATTACAAAACCAATCACAACTATTTTGTTATGTTGTTGATCCCTGCTTTAGGCTTAATTTCATTGCTCTTGTCTCTTTTTCTCCAGCTTCATCGGCTATATGGAACCAAGAAACAAAACACATGCTTCAGAATTTACCCTCCTGGGACTCTCAGAAGAGGAGGGACTGCAGCCCCTCCTTTTTGGGATTTTCCTATTCATGTACCTGGTTAGCTTCATTGGGAATCTTCTCATTATCTTGGCCATTATCACTGACTCTCACCTCCATACACCCATGTACTTCTTTCTCTCTAATCTCTCTTTTGCGGACATATGTTTTACTACTACTACTGTCCCAAAGATGCTGCTGAATATCAAGACACAAAGTAAAGTTATAACATATGAAGGTTGCCTTAGCCAGATGTATTTTTACATGGTTTTTGGACAATTAGACAACTTTCTCTTAACAGTGATGGCCTATGACAGGTTTGTGGCCATATGTCACCCACTGCATTACACAGTTATCATGAACTCCAAGTTCTGTGGCCTCTTGATCTTGGTATCCTGGCTATTGAGTATTCTAGACTCTCTACTGCATGACTTACTGATATTGAGACTCTCTTTTTGTACAGAGTTAGTAATTCCTCACTTTTTCTGTGAACTGAATCAGATCATCCAACTTGCTTGTTCTAATACTTTCCTCAATGAGCTAGTATTATATTTTGCAAACGGACTCCTGGGTGTCATTCCCCTCATTGGTATCATTTTGTCTTACTGCAAGATCGTGTCCTCCATTCTGAGAATGTCTACCGCTGAGGGCAAGTATAAAGCCTTTTCCACTTGTGGGTCTCACCTCTCAGTCGTTCTCTTGTTCTACGGTACATTCCTGGGGGTGTATCTTAGTTCTGCTGCTACTCAAAACTCCAGAGAAAGTGCAATCGCCTCAGTGATGTACACTGTGATCACACCCATGCTGAACCCCTTTATCTACAGTCTGAGAAACAAGGATATGAAGCAGGCTCTAAAAAAACTCTCCAGCTTAGAAAAATTCTCTCCATAAGGAGACTATTTTGGCTCAAGTTTAGAGTTCATCATGTTACACGGAGCTCCAAAACAGAAGCCCAAAGGAATGAGGCATTTATCTGTTCATGGAATTCACTTTATCTGTAGAATTTAATGCTAAGGATTTTAATTTTATGTATATTAAAAGCTATTGCTTCTTTTGTATTTTCATTAAAAGCTTTATCTATGCCATTGTGTTCTTGGGTTTAGTGAAGAGACTATAATCCACTGAATGAAATTCAGCAGTAAGAAACTTAATGCATGATATTAGAAACTTTAAAACTACAAGAACAATGTAGAGACTTGTTGTGTAGTGCATTACCTGCCTGGTGAAATCAACTACCTCTTATATTATGTGCTTTTGAAGAAAAAGCATTTGTTATATCAAATTTCGTGCACACATGACAGCATTTATTTTAATTAATTCCAAAAAGAGATCATATTGGGATTAGCCAAAGTGTTTGGAGTCACCAACTGATTACATTTACAATAATCCACACTCGCTCACTAAAATATAACTTTCTTTTGCCCAGATAAAACATAACTTGGAATGTAATCAAAATTGCAGTACTTGATCCTTCAAATATTGATAGTGTTGCCAGTCTCTGAGAGTCCCCTTGGAATGTACTGCTCCTTAAATAATTTATAAGCAAGAACGCTTTAAGATTACTTTCTCTGACACTCCTACCATAACAATCTTACTTGCAGTTCACAACTAATATGGATATGCTGCCAATTGTCAACTATGGCTTTTCCCAGCATGCTTCCTAGAAATGAGGAAATAAAATCAGGATATATTCATGGATTTGTGTGTACTTTGTAAGACAAGATTAATGCTTCATTCATCATCTGATCAGACGCCAAGTTAAAGTGGCATTTTCAGATCAGTGTTAGCTCAGAACTAGTGCCCAATATTTTAATAAAATAATCACTTTTATATTTTTAACCCTGCTCACAGATTTCCAGGGAAAGGGGTTACTGATTGATTTGAAAACTAGTATGGTATCCTGATAGGTAATTAATTGGCTGAGAGAGAGATAGAGAGAGAGAGATTATAGCAGAAATTTTTGAGTTTGATAAGCTGCTTTTCTCTACGATTAGAGTGTTTTTACAGAATACGTGGGAGCTTAATAAGAATTTTTAGGGATATTAACAATAATTGTCTTTTTTCAAATATCTCTCTGATTCAACCCATATGAATTAACATACTGGTCCTGGTGCCAATCATATAAGCCATGAAACCTCCTATCTCTGGTGATTTAGTGATATTAGTTAAATATGCCATTTCCCCCATTGAATTCAGAAGGTACCCAGTTCAGTGTTTTCATCTCCTACTTTGCGTGGGGCACACAGAGGGCAACCACTGCAGAGCTTTCCAAGGAAGCTGTTACATCCCTTATGAATTTATTTATAAAACTCTTGGTGAAAATAATGGCCTCTGAACCCATTACTCTTGCATGTTTAGGTGTGCATGTGTGTAACTGAGTTACACATATTAAATCCATCACCAAACCAAAACTCACTGCCATCAAGCCAATGTTAAATCATCGCTACCATATAGGACTATAGGTAAGCTAGAAGAGGCCCTGTGAGTCTCTGAAGCTGTAACTCTTTACAGGAGTAGAAAGCCTTGTCTCTCTCCCTCAGAGGTCATCTGTCCAACCTTGCACATTAAACCCAGAATTTCTGATCATCCTCTCTATCACTGTCTTTGGCTTACTTCTTCCATGAACTGACATTTATAGCATTAATTCTCACCTATACTTCCAAAAATGTTTAAAGAAAATCTTGCAATTATTCTCATGCCTCAACCGTCTTCTTATTCAGACTTTGCATTTGTCTGTCCCCACACCAAGGTATCTGACTCAGGGTCTCAGTCTGAAGACAAGACGAGAAAAAGCTAGGGCCTAACAAAAGATGTTGTGTTTCTGCAAAGTGAATACACATTAGGTGATATCATTACAGGAGTTTGAGGCCAGGCACATAATGGTCTAGGTTAGCTCTGAAATCTCTGTAAAAAAAATCATTTAATTAGCCATAATGCAGGCATCATACCATTCAATAGTTCAATCATGTCAAGCAGTATTGTCCAATCGCTACTACAACCATTTTCAAAAACATATTCTTCCTTTGTGTACTCCTTGACTTCAGATCCCCATTATCACCCCCTCCCTTGAAATACCCCCTAGGAACCCTTGTTCTAGTTATTGTCTCTATAAATTCACCCAACCTGGGTTTCATATACTGAAAAACATAGAACGATACAAAACAGAGTCAAGAACGTTGCCAACAAATACCAAAATACAACAGAGATAAGTCCAAATTAAAGGGGAATAACCCAAATATTAAAAATTAGATCACTGAAGACAAATGAGTGCATAAGCAAAGGTGGTGAAGAAAGCTGATGGTGTCAGGCTATCAAAAGATATAGTGTCTGGGGTCTTAAAAGATTGAAGATAAACAAGCGGCCAACTGGCTCAGAAGCAACAAAGCCCACATGGAAGAAGCACAACAGCATGTGTGACCACGAGCTGTCGAAGGGATCAGGTATCAAGCATCCAAGAACAAAAAATCATATCACTGTAAAGGTGGGTGAGTGCAGAGTGGAGACTCAAAGCCCATCAGTGGGCAGCTGAACACTCCCTTACTGAGAGGTTGTGGGGAGGAGATGAGCCAACCAGGGTGCAGGGTAGCAACGATGAAACATATAACTTTCCTCTAGTTCTTTAATGCTTCCTTCCCCTCCACCCCACTATCATGATCCCAATTCTACCTTACAAATCTGACTGAACCGGAGGATGTACATTGGTACAGATAGCAACTGGAAACACAGGGAATCCAGTATAGATGACTCCTTCAGGACTAGTGTGAGAGGGGCAAAGCCTGGAGGGTGGAGGGAATGTGGGGTAAAAAGGGGGAACTGATTACAAGAATCTACGTATAGCCTCCTCCCTGGGGGATGGACAGCAGAGAAGAGGGCAGAGGGAAACATCGGACAGGGTAACTTATGACAAAACTATAATAATTTATGAACTATGAAGGGTTCATGAGGGAGCGAGGAGTGGCGAGAGAGAGGGAAAATGAGCAACTGATATTAGGGGCTAGAGTGGGAGGCAAATGTTTTGAGAATGATGAGGACAATAAATCTGTATAGTGCTTGACACAATGGATGTATGTAAGGATTGTGATGAGAATTGTACAAGCCCCCAATAAAATAATTTTAAAAAAAATTGTATCAAGCTCAAAGTATATCCAAAGGAAGATCAAATGACAAAGTTTTAACCATTCCGGTCAGATGAATCATTTTAATCTACTATATCGTCCCTCCAAGACTCTCTCTGATAACCAGATTATTCCGAACCTTCCCTTATTGTCAGACCCTGCAAATGTATTGTGCTTCCCCTGTCATCCATAGCCTCTGCAAACCAGAATTTTGCAATTTAAGCTCTGACTCTCTTTCCTCCTTCAGATCTGTATTGTATCATTTATAATCTTTGAATCAGATGTTGGTGTGCTTCTTCCATCTGGATTTAGTTGACATTAGATGGCTGGTTGCTTGAAAACAAGCCTTTAAGACCCCAGGCACTATTCTGAGAATTCAGCATCGTCTAATTTCCTCACCACACTCTGCTAGACTACCCATATTCCCCATGTTTCCTTCATGAGGGTGCATATTGTAACTTTTTTTTGATTGGAGCTAGGGTTAAGTGTGAGTCCCAAATCCATCCCTAAATCTCTGTATAGTTTTAGTATGACTTTTATGTTTTATCCATATCCACAATTTGTACTTTTTTTTTACAAAGTCCTCTTTCTAACAACATCTTATCCTTTGCTTAAGACTTTGGCAAGATTTTGAATTCACCTTATTTTGTAATGCATCAATCTATAATATCAGAGCCTTTTTAAAACAATTTAATGGTTTGACTATATTAAAAAGACTTGTGCAACCATCACCACAATCAATTGCACAACCTTGTCTTCATATTTGTACTCATTGTTACCAATTTCTCTTGCCATAACCCTAAAAACCATTATTCTAATTACTGTGTCCATAGATTTACCTATTCATATTTTTTAAATACCAAGAAACCCAACAACAATAACAAAATAAAACACAGAAAAACTTCAATCCAAAAAAAGCAGAAAATAATAAAAAACTGGAACAAATTATAAATTGAAGACTCTAGTTTTGAAGGGTACCCGTATCTTACCTGATGATGTGGAGAGGAAACATTTGATTCATGCAGTAAATAAAATTTCCTAGTTCTTTGGTTGCTTTTGATCAAAAGTTTTTAAATCCTCAGCTTGTCATGTACTTTCTGAAAGCTCTCTAGTGCATTCAAAACTCCTTGAAGCCCAATTTGATAATATACATATATATTATTAATATATTAATATATCTTTATTAATATAATTCATTCCGTTTGCTCATTTTTTTCCTTTTAGTAGATGATTGCTTGGGGTCAATGTCAGAGGATACATTATGAAATAGATTTACCACTGCTATCTATTGGTTACCAGCATAACCAAGCAGTGGGCACAACAGCATCGAACCCAACGAGTTGAATTATTGTCACCTTTTAATTTGACAATAGGGAAGGTCCTTTTCTTACTATCAAATAATCTACTTGTTTGCATGATTTTCTTTAAATGGAAGTCTCTACGTTTTTGAGCAGAAAGTATATATCAGCCTGTACTTGCAAAATTGTTGCAAGGGCTGATATATGCCCTTCAAATACTAGCAGTGGCCCCACAACAGCATTGCAAAGCAGACCAGCTAAGAAGCTTGATACTTCTACCATGAGGAAGGTGGAAGAGTCAAGAGGACACCACGGATATGACTGAGCCAGAGCACACATTGCTTTAGTTGAAACCTAAGGAGTAGGAAGTCCTTGCTCTAAATGCTGGCTTTCTGTGCCTCCTAGATCTGTACTTTCAGCAAAAAGTATGCACATCATTTCCTAATACCATGAGCCTACTGGTGTGCAAATTTTCTCT